GCCTTCTCTTTTTATTTCATTGAGTTGGTCTTCGACCTCTGATATCCTTTCTTCTGCTTGGTCAATTCGGCTGTTGAAGCTTGTGCATGCTTCACGAAGTTCTCGTGTTGCGTTTTTCAGCTCCATCAATTCACTCATACTCCTCTCTATGCTGTCCATTCTGTCAGCATTTCGTCCAATCTTTTTTCAAGGTTCCTATTTTCTTTGCATTCGGTTAGAACATGTTCTTTTAGCTCACTGTAGTTTCTTACTACCCACCTTCTGAAGTCTGATTCTGTCATTTCATCACCCTCCTCCATCCGGTCTGGTTCCCTTGCTGGTGAGGAGTTGTGATCCCTTTTAGGAGGAGAGGTGTTCTGGTTTCGGGAGTTTTCATCCTTTTTGCACTGGTTTCTTCCCATTTTTGTGGGTTTATCCACCTGTTGTCTGTCTCTGTCCCAGGGAGTTGGAGCTTTATGAGTTTCCGTTGCACTACTGCTTTTTATTTTTCTTTCAGGTCTGACCCGCCCAGCTAGCAGCAGGCCTAGCCACTGCCTGCCCGCAAGGGCTTTGCTGAGCTGCTGTGGGCTCCGCCCAGCTGCCCTGAGCTCTTCCCTGTAGTCCTTTTTATATGGGTGTAGTTAGAACTGTCTGGGCAGCGGTGGCCCCGCCTCTGTTATGGCGGACTCTCTCTGTTGTGGCAGGTTGCCTCGGCAATGGCGGGTTGCCTCGGCAACGGCAGCCTGCCTCCATAGCGGTGGAGAGTCTCAGTAATGGCGGAAGTCCCTCCCCGACCTAGCCGGACCGTCCGGTTCAGCTGTGCTTGGTTTGAAGGGCTCAACCCAGAGGGTTTCCAATTACTGTTTTTGTTTTCGTTGTTGTTGGGGGTGGAGGGGTGGGACCAACCGAGCCTGATCACCTGGCTCCCTGACTCAGAGTCTTTTCTTTTAAGTTGAAGGACCCCGTGTTCTGGTCGCTTGTTGAAAAGGCGCCGGGATCTCTCGTGCCACGACTCACTGAGTCAGCTCGAACTGTGGCGCCGGCTCCTGGCGAATTTTTTGCCTAGGACTCTCCTGGCCTGGCTCGCTATTTCAGATGAATGGGCAACTCTGCCGTCTCAGGGTTCTGCTCGCCAGCTAAGAGGGCTCCCAGACCAGTGGCTTTTGTACGGAGAACCGCAGCAACAGGGCGTGGTCACAGCAGCCGCGTGGGCGGAATCAGCCCCGTGGGGGCCAAAACAGCCGCACCGGCTGGGACTGCGACGCTGGCGACCCCTCTGCCTGGGTATCTCCTGGTCTGTGGGCAGTAAGAGTTCGTCTGGAAATGCGGCGTCCACTCACCCTCTGCACTTTCACTGGGAGCTGAAGTCCTGAGCTGGTCTTAGGTGGCCATCTTCCCAGCATTCCCCCGAAAAATTCTTAATAAAAAGTTACCAAAAGATTTTTTTCTTAGTTTTACCAGAAAAGAAAACTAAAATATTATCTTAATTTTATGTTATTTTATTTTTAGAGATGGGGTCTCACTATGTTGTCCAGGCTAGATCCCAACTCTTGAGCTTAAGCAATCCTCCCGAGTAACTGGGACTATAGTTGTGCACCAAACCTGATTATTTTTTAATTTTTAAATACAAATTTTTTTTTTGAGACGCAATCTCAGTCTGTCACCAGGCTGGAATGTAGTGGTGTGATCTAGACTCACTGTAACCTCTGCCTCCCAGGTTCAAGCGATTCTCCTGCCTCACCCTCCTGAGTAGTTGGGATTACAGGCATGTGCCACCATGCCCAGCTAATATTTGTATTTTTAAGTAGAGATGGTGTTTCACCATGTTGGCCAGGCTGGTCTTGAACTCCTGACCTCAGGTGATCTGCCCGCCTCTGCCTCCCAAACTGCTGGAATTACAGGCATAAGGCACCACACCCAGTCTTTAAATTCAATTTTTAAATGATCAATGCTATCACCTATTTTTCCTACCAGTATTTTCAGGAAGGTCTGGTTCCACATTCTCACAATTCCTTGTATAGTTAAGATCTTTTATTTTTGCCAATTTGAGGGCAGTGAAATTGTGTCCTGTGGTTTTAATCTGATTTCCTTGGTGGCTAGTGAAGTTGAGCATCTTTTTATATATTTATTGGCCATGCAGGCTTTTCTTCTGTGAATTACCTGTTTATATCCTTTGCCCACTTTCTGTCTTTTTCTGATTGAGTTGTAGGAGTAATTATAATTCTGGATATTAATTATCTGGTGGTTACATGTGATATAAATTTCATCTCTTAATCTGTGACTTGTCTTCTTACTTGGTTTGATTTACAAACGTTTTTCATTTTAATAGACCCTAAATTATCTATTTTTCCCATTATTTGTAACTTTTGTATGTTGTTTGAAATCATTCACAGTAGTAAGGTCATAAAGTTTTGCTTTTTTTTTTTTAAACGGAGTCTTGCTCTGTTGCCCAGGCTGGAGTACAGTGTGGCCGATCTCGACTCACTGCAACCTCCGCCTCCCAGGTTCAAGTAATTCTCCTGCCTCAGCCTCCTGAATAGCTGGGATTACAGGCACCCACCACTACACCTGGCTAATTCTTGTATTTTTAGTAAAGATAAGGTTTCACCATGTTGGTCAGGCTGGTCTTGAACTCTTGACCTCATGATATGCCTGCCCTGGCCTCCCAAAGTGCTGGGATTACAGGCGTGAGCCACCGTGCCCAGCCAAGTTTTGCTTTTTAACTGTCAATCTTTAATCCACCTGGAATCTATTTTTCTGTATGGTGTGTCTATTCATGCTTTGGTTCACTGAAAGTTGGTTTTACCACATTTTTACCACATCTCTCTACAATGCAACTATTTGTGTCAAAGATATCTTTGGTTCCACAACTTATTAAATGCAGTTAACACTTCTGCTCATCTATACCTCAGCAGCAAAAACACTACTATCTCAGCTTGGCTATTACATTTCCATTTATCTTTCTGTTTTGCTTCAGTCTTCTTTTGCTGATTCGTCCTGCGGAATCTCACCTCTAAATATGGGGAATGTAACAGAGCTCAGTCTTTGGCCTTCTCTTCTAACATACACTAGGTTATTTCATTCAGTCCTTGACTTTAACGCAATACATAAACTGACAAATCATTGAACTCCATCTGCATAGACTCTACTATTTGACATCTCAATGTGAATACCTTATAGCTGTCTGAAACTTAATATGGTCCAAAAAGCAGCTTTAATTTTTCCCAAATCTATTCCTATATATCATTCATCGCAGCACCTATCGCAGCACCTGTTCACCCAATAGTTCAATCTAAAATCTTAGCAATTATTCCTCAAACTAGATTCCTCCTTTCTTCCGACTTTCACATATTCAATCTTTTGGGATGTCATGTCAGATGTAGTTAGAAAGAAAATACACAGGAAGGGCTGGATGCAGAGGCTTACACCTGTAATCCTAGTACTTTGTGAGGCTGAGGTGGGCAGATCACTTGAGGTCAGGAGTTGGAGACCAGCCTGGCCAGCCTGGTAAAACCCTGACTCTACTAAAAATACAAAAGGTAGCAGGGCATGGTGGCACGCACCTGTAATCACAGCTACTCGGGCAGGAGGCTGAGGCATAAGAATTGCTTAAATCTGGGAGGTGGAGGTTACAGTGAGCTGAGATGGAACCACTGCACTGAAGCCTAGGCAACCTAGTGAGACTCAGTCTCAAAACAAAAATAAAACACAAAAAGCCAAAAACAAAAAACAACCATAAAACTTCATCATTAGTTATTAGAGAAACACAAGTCAAAATCACAATGAGATACTACTTTACACCTACTAGAATGGCTATTAAAAAAATAAAAACTGAAAATAATAAGCACTGGTGAAAATATGGAGAAATAGGAAATAGGAACCTTCGTACTTTGCTGATGGAAATGTAAAATGGCCCAGTTGCTAGGAAAAACAGTTTGATGATTCCTTAAAACGTTAAACATAGAATTACTATATGACCGAACAATTCTACTCCTAAATATATACCCAAAAGGAATGAAAACAAGGACTCAAACAGATTATTGTACATCTACTGAGGCTGAGGCATTACTCATTGTTCTTTCTAGCATTATTCACAATAGCCAAAAGGTGGAAACAACCTAAGTGTCTGTCAACACATGGATGAATAAACAAAATGTGCTATGTCCATACAATAGAATGTTATTCAGCCATAAAAAGGAATAAAGTTCTGTTACATGTTACAATGTGAATAAACCTTGAAAACATTATGCTAAGTGCCAAACCTAAAAGAACAAATATTACATGATTCTATTTATATGAAATATTTACAACAGGCAAATTCACAGAGGCAGAGAGTGAATTAGAGGTTACTAGGGACTGTGGGTAAGGGAGAATGGAGATTATTACTTAATAGTTACAAAGTTTTTGCTTGAAGTGACAAAAACATTTTAGAACTGGATAGTGGTCATTATTGTACAACAGCGTTAAAGTAATGATGAAGTGTAAAACTACAAATAGTTAAGATAGCAAATTTTATGTTATATGTATATACTTTATCACAGGTTTAAAAAATTAAAATTCAAATACACTAAAAAACCATTAAATAATATACTTTAAACACATAAATTATATGGCTCATGAATTACCTCAATAGAACTGTTTTTAAAAACTATATAAAATTAATCATTGCTGGACTAATCAAAGCAAATAAAAAGAAGGTGTTTACATTAGTAAAAAAATTATTTTTCTAAAGTTCTAACAGTAACAGAATTATAAAATTTACTTTTACTCTCAAATTATTATAAATGCAAAAAACTATTTCACATTTACCGAATTAACCAGAAGATAAGAATCATGATACAGATTAAAATAAAATGCCTTTATTACAAGACTTAAAATGTCTTAAGAAAATTTTTAAAATATTGAAATGTTCTTCATACTAGGCCATTCAACAATGCAAGAGTGCAAACGTGCAGTTACCGACATACATATGTAAAATAAATAAACTGCACTGATTAAAAACAAAAAACCTAGATACCTACTGCTGTCTTTGTAGACCAATAAAATGCAGGCCATTATCTTCAAAAGTTCAGCAACAACCACTGCTGTAGAAGATAGATAACGAGGTCCTTCCTCTTTTAAAGTTCTAGAATAACGCATTGTTAGAACCAAACTGGTAGTCTGAAAGACCAAAATTCCCAAGGAAAGGTATTTTAGGTTGGTGGACATTGTTTTATCTTCATTTGCCTGAAAAACAAAATAAACAGGGCAAATAAATAACATTACAACATATGAAAACTAGTATATTAAAAGACACTAAGGGAGAAAGGAGAGGGTGTGCAGGTCTCTCCTCCACCTGCCACCGAAAAAAAAAGCAAAAAAAAAAAAAAAAAAATCCAGAAACCAAGAGACTTCTTGTTCCAGCAAAGATGAAATAAGCACAATCCATCCTATTCTTTCTGCTAATTGCAACCAAAAACCTTGAATTGGAAACAAAAAGCAACTACCAGAAGACTCTGAAAGGGGAAGAAAATAAGGTAAATTGGCTAGGGACGTCAAGTCTCAAGGGATGACTACAACAGTGAATTCCCTAGAGATATTTTTGCCACAGATGTAAACTACTTTGGGTGCTACAAAAGCCTACAACCTGAAACTGCTCAAAGGCATAGAACAACAACAACAAAAGCCCTAAGAAAAACATACTCTCTCTAACCAAAGGCCTGAGAAGACAAGAGAATCTTTCAGGATAAAATCCCTTCAACTGGTTACAATGTATTCAGGAAGACAGAACTTTACTGAACATCCTCATCTTGAACCAATGAGAGCAGAGGTGGTGGCCCATCCCCCTCCCACACTAGGTTACAGCCACAGACACTGTGGGACAGAGCCCTGCTGACCATTCCTGCCTGATAGAAAGCAAATGTCTGCAAAGAGTACCTTTCCTCCCTCCTCAGTGGCTATTAACATAGAAGATTTAAATAGAAACGAGAGTCTCATAATATAATATGCAAAAAGTTCAGGAAACAATCCAAAGTAAGTATACTTATTAAACCAACAAACAGAAAAAAGTCTCAGCTTGGATAAGTAAGGACAACCAACAGACAACAATGCAGACATGACACAGTTGTTGCAATATTCAGAAAAGAATTTCAAGCAAGCTATTTTAAAAATACAGCAACAAGCAATTATGGAGACTTAAAATAATTTTAGACTCATATAGTTTAAAAAATAGTACAAGAATTCACATGTACCATTCACCCAGCTTCCCCCAATGATAATAATTCAAAATCGCTATATTTTTCCAATTCAGTATTACTACAGGAGACTTACTTTAAATATGAAGACATATACAGGTGAAAAAACAAAAGGACAGAAAAAGATATATCATGAGAAAAAATTAAAAAAGGAGTTTTACTAATATCAGCCAAAATGGATTATATAAGATTTATTTCTGTCATCAAAGAAAGATAGTTCATCATGATAAAAGGGTCAATACATTAGAAATACATAACCATTTTAAATACGTATGTGCCTGATAACACACCTTCAAACACATAAAGCAAAAACTAACATAACTAAAGGGGAAAACAGGTAAATGCAGTCATAATTAAAGATTTTTAGCCTATCTTTCTCCATAATTAATAACAACAAAAAAGAAAACCCAGTAAAATTATACAAAGTCTGAAAATCTGAACCTTATCAACCATCATTACCATGGTAGATATAAAAATGATCTACCAGATTTTACTTCAAGAAAGGACTTAATACAGAGTGTGTAATACCTGACTGCTTTCCTAGTTAAGATCACATCTTTTGTCTCAGAGTTATCTGAAGATTCAATTCTGAACAAAATCCCTGTAGGCTTTTTTGGTAAACAAACAAAAGCACAAACTAAGCCACCTGATTTTAAAATTATATAGAAATATAAAGGACATAGACTACCAAAACAATTTTGAGAAAGAAAAACAAAATTGAAAAAGCTAAGCTACCAAACTTCCAGACTTACTATAAAACTATACTAATCAAGGCCAGGCGCGGTGGCTCAAGCCTGTAATCCCAACACTTTGGGAGGCTGAGACGGGTGGATCACGAGGTCGAGAGATCGAGACCCTCCTGGTCAACATGGTGAAACCCCGTCTCTACTGAAAATACAAAAAATTAGCTGGGTGTGGTGGTGCGTGCCTGTAATCCCAGCTACTCAGGAGGCTGAGGCAGGAGAATTGACTGAACCCAGGAGGCGGAGGTTGCGGTGAGCCGAGATCACGCCATTGCACTCCAGCCTGGGTAACAAGAGCGAAACTCCATCTCAAAAAAACAAAAACAAAAACAAAAAAACTATACTAATCAAAACTGGTATTGGCATGAGGATGGAAACATAGATCAATAGAACAGATAGTCCAGATTTAGATCCATATGTCTTGTCAGCTCAGGCTGCTATAATGAAGTATCACAGACTGAGTGGCTTATAAACACAGCAGTTTATTCCTCACAGTGGCTGGAAGTCCAAGTATCAGAGTGCCAGCACGGTTGGGTTCTACTGAGGTCCCTTTTCTAGGTTCACAGCTGTCTGTCTTCTCATTGTATTCTCACATGGCAGAGAATATAGAGAGAGTTCTCTGGGGTCCCTTTTTATAAAGGCACTAATCTCATTCATGAGGGCTTCACTTTCACAACCTAATTACCTCCCAAAGGCCCTACTTCCTAATACCATCACATTGAGAGTTAGGATTTCAACATGTGAATTTGGGGAGGCAGGGAACCCAGGGGAGAAGAGCACAAATATTCAGTCCATTACACCATACAAAAATAACCAAACAATATTTGACAAAGGTACTAAAAAAGAGAAAAAAAAAAAAAAAGGACAGTTTTTCAACAACTAGTTCTGAACTGGAATAATGAGATATATTTATTTTTAAAAAATAACCCTTGGCCGGGCGCGGTGGCTCAAGCCTGTAATCCCAGCACTTTGGGAGGCCGAGGCGGGTGGATCACGAGGTCAAGAGATCGAGACCATCCTGGTCAACACGGTGAAACCCCGTCTCTACTAAAAATACAAAAAATTAGCTGGGCACGGTGGCGCGTGCCTATAATCCCAGCTACTCAGGAGGCTGAGGCAGGAGAATTGCCTGAACTCAGGAGGCGGAGGTTGTGGTGAGCCGAGATCGTGCCATTGCACTCCAGCCTGGGTAACAAGAGCGAAACTCCGTCTAAAAAAAAAAAAAAACCCTCTACCCCTAACTTTCTCACACCAAATATTATCTAGAAATGGATCATATAGCCATTACAAAAGCTGAAACTATAAATATTCAATAAGAAAACATAGGGGAAAAAAACTTAATCATGTAGAGATAGGCCAAGAGTTCTTAGAATACAAAAAGCACAAACCATAAATGAAAAAGTGGATAAATTAGACACGTTAAAATTTTTAAATGGGCCAGGTGCAGTGGCTCACACCTGTAATCCCAGCACTTTGGGAGGATGATGGGGGTGGATCACCTGAGGTCAGGACTTCAAGACAAGCCTGACCAACCTGATGAAACCTCAACTCTACTAAAAATACAAAAACTAGCCAGGTGAGCTGGTGGGTGTCTGCAATCCCAGCTACTCAGGAGGCTAAGGGAGGAGAATTGCTTGAACTCAGGAGGCAGAGGTTGCAGTGAGCCAAGACTGTACCAATGTACTCCAGCCTGGGCAACAAAAGTAAAACTCTACCTCAAAAAAGAAAGATATTTTTTCAGTAAAGACAAATGAGTAGCTAATAGACAGATGAAAAGGTGTTCAACATCACAGTCATTAGAGAAATACAAATTAAGACCACAGTGCACCTATTAGACTACCTAAATTTTAAAAACTGATACAAGCAAGTGTTGAAGAGGATTTAAAGCAAACAGTCCTCAACACTGCTAGTGAAAACTGTAAAATGGTACAACCACTTTGAAAAAGCTCATTAATTCCTTATTAAAAGAAAACAGCACTTTGGGAGTCTGAGGCTGGAGGATCACTTGAGACCAGGAGTTTGGGACGAGCCCAGAAACATATTGAGACCCCATCTTTACAAAAAGTTTAAAAATTAGCTGGGTTTGATGCTACAGGTATGTAGTCCCAGCTACTCAGGAGGCTGAGTGAGGCAGGAGGATGGCTTGAGCCCACGAGGTTTGAGGATATAGTGAGCTACGATTGAGCTGCTGTATTCTAACCTGAGCAAAAGAGAAAGACTCTCTCAAATAAAAACAAAAAGAGGATAGGAGACAGAAGGGAAGGTGGGGGGAGAGGAGACCAAGGGAAGAGAGAAAAGGAAGGGAAGAAAGGAGAGGAGGGGAGGGGAAGAGAGAGGCTGGGGAAGGGAGGGGAGGGGAGGGGAGGGGGGAGACAGAAGAAAGGGAAGGAAGAGAAGAAAGAAAACAATAACCATCTTTTCATATGACCTGGCAATTCCACTCTTAGGTATACCCAAGAAATTCGAAAATATATGTTCACAACAATATTTGTACATGAATATTTACAGGAACTTTATTTGTAACACCAGAAATGAAATAATCAAAATGCCCACAAATATTTGAATAAATGAACCTATGTGGTATATCCATACAATGGAATAATACTGAGCTATAAAGGAATAAAATACTGCCACACTAAAGCACCCCCCACAAAAAGTCAAAAACATACTGAGCGAAAAACTTTAAATAAAACAGTATACTGTATACTATATCTTTCCATTTACATAAAATTCTAGAAAATGCAATGTTCAACTATAGTGACAGATGCAAACTTATGGTTACCTATAGACAAGGGCTGGGGTTGAGGGTTGACTGAAAAGGGACAGCAAAGAATTTTTGGGAGTGGTAAAAATACTCTGTGTGGTGGTTATATGATTGAATTTATTTATCAGAACTCACTGAATTGCAGATTTTTTTAAATCTACATTTTAAAAAAAAATCTACAATTCCAGGGTACAATGGTTCATTATATTCAATGGGTACATTTTATTGTATGTAAATTACAACTCAATAAAGTTGATAAAAAGAATTAAAGATTGAGGTCATACCAAATAATAGCATTCTTAACCAGGCTTTCTTCACACCTTTAGTTCTAGCTCTGATTTCTTTGGATTAATTCTAAAGATATTCTGTTAGTCTATTCTTCACCCCCCTGCCATCTTTTCCATGAATCTAACTCCTAGCTAAATTTCTTCAAATGTGAACCCTGTTTATAGTGTCTCTTTAGAGCTCTCACAACCCAAGCTATCA